CAAGATGGCTGCTGGCTGACACCAGATAACACACCAATTAACAAATGTAAACTTTGATAAGATTATGAACCTGGAGTACCTAGCCAATGGGGAAACGGGAGGGGGACAGGCAAAGGGGGAAACAAGGTACAAAAAGGTGCCATTGTATCCTGAGGGATGCTCCTGCTTGCAGGATGCCCACCATTGCAATCGCAAATAAAATCTGCTTTTTATCAGAGATACCATTCTGACAAAACTATTTGGATATTTCCAACACAACTATCTCCCACACGGTGAAATGATTCAAGCCGAAATCCCTGTGATCATTGTTTCATTTAAGGCCAAATGTCATGTGAAACAGCTGGGCAGAAAGCCAGATTACTAAAGGTAACATTTGGATGAAGAAATATGCCACTCTGTATACAGATAAATTAATTTAGATTGTCAGCTAACCACATTTTAAATTATGTCCTCTGAGTGCTTGGAGTCAAGTTGCTTTTTCGAAAATCCTTTTGCCATTCTATCAAGCCTTTTTTATATCTTGTGTGAGAATCAAGTGTTGTTTCTGCATTAGAATTGTATAATATTATTTTTATTTTATGATCTCCGCTATCATAGTTCTTTTTGGGAGTCCCTCTACTTAACTTGGGGAAGATCTCTGATAAGTTTACATCACTTATCGTATAGACGAACCTTCCCAGGGATGCATACTCTGTATATAAGTGTATATATGTATATTTTGTCACATACACTGCAAGAATATCCTGCACGAGAGCAAACCAAAGAACAAGCCATGGCATGCCCGAGGAAGCGCCTGAAAAGACATTGGGAAGGCCTGACATCATCCCCCAGTGCTCTTTGTTTAACGATGATGACTTTAAAGAAAATCACCATATCAATAGGACAAGGAGAGCACCGAGACATCTTGGAAACAACAGGATGACTACTGACTAGCACCAGATAACAAATAAATTAACAAGTAAACAGCAAATGTAAAACCTTCTGATAAGACTGTGAACCTGGAGTACCCAGCCATTGGGGAAACAGGGGAGGGGGAAGGCAAGGGGGAGAAAACAGGGTATAAAGGCTGTCATGTTGTGTCCACAGGCGCGCTCCTACTTGTGGGATGCCCGCCATTGCAACCGCGAATAAACTGCTTTTACCAGAGATACCGTCCTGACAAAAATTACTTGGATTATTTCCAACACTTGGAATTCAGTTGTATTTCTATTTATCTGGAAACAGGGTAGAGGAGGCTAACATATGTGAACTAATGTATGAGATTTCCACTTACTCACTCTGACCTCTAGAGCCCTTTCAGTTCCTTTTGGTGTAGCTGCTCAATATAATTATTTTCAGTCACTGAATTTGTGACTTATCTCCAAGCTGGCTGGATCCAGACTGTCCCTGCAGGAATCTCCATGGGCTTCTGGGAAAGCTCAGGCCATTTTTTTCACGGCATCACAGGATAATACAGAACATATGCTGCATTCATATGGTCTGATGTAAGAATTTTTCAACTGCTCTGTTTTTATAAAAAAGGTAATATATAATATTAGTCTTTTTTATTATGTAAAATAATGTCCAAGTGTCAGGAAAAGTACTGCAGAGTTTGAGGGGGTTCATGATGACCACAGCTGACATCAGAGGTAGGAGATGTTTCAGTTGATGCTGAGGGCCGAGGATGTGGCATATCTGGGCAGGGATTGAGCAAGTGAGGAAGTCAGATATCCTCAACTGAAATGCTGAACAACATACTGTGCAGAGGTACTTGCTGCTGGTCTTGGAGATGTCCCCAGGTTTTAGCCTTGTTGTAGGGTGGATCCCACCGGGAAAATACAGTAGGTAGATCTTTATGGCAGCTGCTCCCAAACATCATTAATTCACTGCTCTTCATGAATTGTATGAACTAAATTAGCTTAGACTAGTGGTCCCACAGATAAGTCTGTGACTTTTATCTGTAGCAGAAATCCCTATGATGCTGACTGAAGTTGTCTCTATCTGAGCAACAATCATTTCAGAGGCCTAAAGAGGAGATGATAAGCTGAAATATTTGAAGTTAAATGCATTGACACTTCTGGGAAGTCTGTTCTTACAGTCACTGACCAATCAACATGAAAAAAAAAGGATTTAAAATGCCACTAAATCTGAAGAGAAAAGCAAAGCATGAAATTTATTAGGCAGTTACATAGCATAGGAGAAACGTTTTCTTGCTGCAACATTATTTTGTATCTCCAATTCATAACACAAAAACAAAAATCATAACTTCTGTTGGAAAGGATTATTATCCTGGAAGTTATTTGATCCAATTTCCTGCTCAGATCAGCACTTCCATTTAAAGTTGAGCAGAATTCTGAGGCTTCATCCAGCTTAGTTTCAATACCACTGAGGGAGGGAGGGAAGAACAGAGGATGGTTTTGGTGTTGAGAAGGCAACCTTCTTTCTCCTGGTGTATAATAAATAAGAAAAGGGTATAAAATATAGTGTCATTAGACATTGTGGTATTTCCCCTGCTCAACATTGGCTTTGGCTTCACTCTGCTCAGACCAGTGGAATTAAATAGACAGATTGTAGTGGAGATGTTAGAGACACAGCGGTAGTGATAAAGAATATCCCTCAGCAGCAAGATTTATCAAGAATACCATCCCACTTACTGAACGTCAAGTCATCCAAAACCAGTCCTCCTGAAGTTTATGTGTACTTCAAGCAGCTGTCAGGCCTTGGTTCGTAGGAGGAATTTGTCACAGTGCAAAGAGAAAACCAAAGCATTTGTCTCACATCAGTACCTTCCCAACAGCTGTGTTCACTTACCATTGAAACCAGCAGCCCGAGGTGTGCGGTGGCTGTCTGTACGGTGTTTCAGGCCACTGAAAACTAAGTAATCTGTTGGAAGGCCCCTGAATACTGTATAGTAAAATGTCCCTCAAAATCAAACCATCGTATGTACCACATTCTGGTTTGGATTTGACATCTGTACTTCTCATTACTATGACAACGTGGTGATGTGACCCTTCACCGATTCTTATAAAAAAGCATAGCTATGTATTTTATTAGCTTGTTAATTCTGAACTAAGCCTTTCTGAAGGAAGAGAACAGAAAGGCTTCTGTTTGCCAGCTGAAGTGTAACAAACAAGGTTTCCGGGGTTCACATTAACCAGAAATCTGCAGCACTTTCAGATAAAACGATAATCAGACTGAACTACTTTCCTATTCAGGCAGAGAAGTGATGAGCTGTTTCTACTTTGCCTTTCTTTCTCTTTCATCTCTGAAATAGTTGCCTTTAGTACTTAAGGTTTTTTTTTCTTATATCAAAAATATAAAAAAGTATTACATGACAAGGTGTTGGAAAATACGCATCAGTTTAAAAGACAAACATGCAATTAAATGATTAATGGATTTTAAATATGATTCAACTAGAATTGCACAAGTTTTAAAGACTATGAGACAAATTATTCTTTTCTCCCCAGAAGACTCATGTGCTATGCAGTGTATTTTAATGCTAATATTCTATTTACTGCTCAGCTGATTTATATGAAAAACACAATTTATGTGAAAAACAGAGCTCCTTCCAAACCAGGATACTGACTTCACAGATGGATATAGCTACCCACAACTCTTCATCATCATAACCTTCAAAGTACCTCATGTTCCTAGGTATCGGTTCTTCCTCTGACAAGCTCCTCAGGTTCTCTCTCATAGCATTGAGACCCCACAAATTTCCCTTGCCTGGGAGGCCAATCCCCTCCTCACTCCTTCTGGGGCCTTTTGGAGTTGGCAGAGTGTGACCATCACACTGATATCTGGAGAATGAAAGCAGTATCATGGTTGGGCTCCTCTTGCATTTACTGCCTTAATCACTTGTTAGAGAGCTCACCCCATAGGAAGAGCTGTGCTATTATCTTTTCTGTTTGCTTGGTGTTAGACTCACATCTCCAATGTACTTTTGAATACTATAGCTGAGAGGTAATCTGGGGAGCAGTTTCTCAAACCTTCTTGTTCTAACTGTACCATTTTGCATGGGTAAGGAATGATAGGTATGACTCACCGTCTAGTCTAGATGTCTCTCTTCTTACTTGCTGCATCTTACTGAAACAGATATTAGATATTTAATTATCCCTATGATTTAAGAAGGAAAGGAATGACCTAGAGAGAAACATGACTAAAAAGTAGATATCGCAATGTCAGCTGGCCAGGAATAAGTCGGCCAGGAATACTTGTACAGCGCATGTTTCCACTAAATTTTATTTTATTATTATTATTATTATTATTATTTTGCATGTAGCTATTCTAAGAATTTAGTGTTGCTGCTTTCTTAAAGGCTCATGGGACCTTACATAGATCTGGATGCTGGATCAGCAATGAAAGCTTGAGAGAACTTCAGGAGGAGTTTGACCCTAAATAGTCCTTCAAAATCCTTGAATCACCAGCCATTGCAATGCTGAGTTACAGAAGGCTTCTTCTGTAGCAGGGAAAAGAGTCTCAAAGTGTGATTTGTCAATTTGCAGAATTGCAGAATAACTTAATTATAGTAGGGACCTCTGGAGGTCATGTAGTGCAATCTCCTGCTTAGAGCTTAACTGCTTGTCATGGAATGGCAACAGTAGCACCAGGAAGAAGATCCTGAGCAATACCTATCCTATACAGTGATGAGTGGTTGCTGGTGTATACATATGGAGTAGTCACACAAGTTAAGCTTTATTGATCCAGGCTTAAAATGCTGACATGAAGCTTGGATTCTACATCAGTTGGCATCAGCAATGCTGTCTTGAGGCCCTACCCGGGTAGTCTGCATGAATCCTGCTATGCATGCTATAAAAAGCTGGCATAGAAGTTGCAGCAGAAATTCTAAGTCAGGGCTTGAAACAGTGATTGAGTAGCTGGGGGGAAGGCAGGGCCAACCCAGAGGAGCTCAGGTGCATGCAATCCACCTGAGTGACTGGAAGGGGTAAAGCCAGGATCTACCCCTTCTCTGACCTCATATAAGTGCTGAAAGAGGAGATATGGACATCTTGCTGGAGATCCTTGTGTACCTGAGGCCTTCTGTGGGTAAGAGGTTGTTGTTGTTGTTGTTGTTGTTGTTGTTGTTGTTGTTGTTGTTGTTGTTGTTGTTGTTGTTCGTAGCTGCTGTACTTGAGCGTACTCTCACCTGCTGCAGTCTAGGACTTTGCTGCTACTCTGTTATTGCTATGATTTCAATTGCATTACAACATTATAGAAGTAGATGTTAATACAGAGGGAGGTGATACTCCTACCGCTTGTATTGTGAAGGAAATTCTCCTACTTTAAGTGACTGTGGTGCCTGTGATTCATTGGGGTCTCTCTTTAGGGTTATGAGTCTTATCAATCTAATGTAGACATACAGACCTTCATGCTCTTACCTATTTCCCATCCTAAGTTAATAAAATGCTAACATTAGGATTACTGAAACAGTAACTATTTTGAACAAACAAAAATATTATAATATTGTGTGTTTTGTACTCTTTTTATAAGCAATACTTTTTTTTTCTTCTTTGCTAATGCTTTTTCTCTGAGGACACTAATATTTACTTAGTAATTATGCTATTGCTTTTAGTTAATCGCTAGCAGTTTGTGTTGGTGTCAAAGCAGAATGAAAACATCATCTCCCATCAAATGTAATTGATACTGCAACTGCTAAACAGTGACAGCACTTGCAAAAAAAGTGTGTCATAGGGCAGCTTTTCTTAACCAGATACCTTTCTGTTTCTATCCAACCTTTATCATACCAAACTCATCATGATCTATTAATATTTGTTCTCCATAAATAATAAATATTCTGTATTTTCTTCTCATCTGCAGAGAAGAATGATTGTACAGTTAGAAAGAAGAAAAGATAAATCAAGGCCCCTATAAAATAGAAGGGAGAAGTATTCAGTTCAAGAGCATGCAAGGAAATAAGCTACAGTAGAAAACTCTGAGGAATTATGCATGTACGTATTAGTATCATTGAACTTTGATGCTTGGAATCAGAGATCCTCATCTTGATGCTCCTGGTTTTTTACCATAGTTTAAATATTTGTTTACAACTTAACATAGAATGGCCTGTGTTGAAAAGGACCACAATGATCATCTAGTTTCAACCCCCTGCTATGTGCAGGGTCACCAACCACCAGACCAGGCTGCTCAGATCCAGCCTGGCCTTGAATCCACATTAGAAGAATACTGACTTGTAAGTTGCTAGGAAAACCCACCCAATAGTTTAGGTTTTCACAAGCAGCATCCGGTGGGGATAAACAGCATGTACTGACACCTTGTCTTACTATCAGGACACACAGAGGCTGTGAAGCAAAAACAATTAACTTCAACTATTTGATTTGCTTATTAGGATCTCTGTAGATAAATTGGTGAGGAATCATTGATGGCAGAGGATGAAAAGGGATCTCAAATTCAACATTAAATGTAGAAGGAACCAGTTTCAAGGAGAAAATGCAAATAAACAGTAGCTAGAACAGTGATCTGTGCTATGCAATTCACTTCAAAGGAATTCAATAGCTGGAGAAAAGTGGGATGTGTGAGAGGCTTGGGGAGGGAATCTTTCTATCTGTAACTCCAGATCTGGAATATGCTTGTAAGGAAGGACTTTGTTCCTTTGGAAGGGAGGCATAAACAAAACAATTTGAGAAATACATCTAACATCTTCTCTTTGTAACAAATGCCCAAGGGTTTCGGAGAAGTGCACATCTAGCGTAGTCACAAAGCAGACCAAGTATGAATACTGCCTGTTGTGGTATTTTCCTTTTCTTGCATTTTTCTCAACCATTTAAAATGGATCCCTAAATTGAGAGACGTAAATCCAATATAAAAGAGATCTGTATCTTATAATAGGCTGTATCACTCATTTCAGGCTGTTCAATTTGCCTCCAAAGTTTGTCATTCTGAAGGCTGCTGACTACTAGCTATTTATTTCAGATTTTATTCTTGTGTTTGTTCTCTCCTGCTATATTCTGGACTTTTTGCATTTGGTCTTTTCAGATGAGTCTTCTCTCATTTTAGATTGCCTTCTCTCTTACCCCAAGCTGGGGAAACAAGGCAGCTGTCCTATGAATGAGGATACAGGGCTGGGGAATAGAGAAACTTCTGAGGTTGTTTCTCATTTCAATAACTGTCTCCTCTCTGAATCAGTGGAAAGACTCCCATGAACATCAGTAGTTATCAGGCTGGATCTTTACTGAACACCTGACTTGACAGTGTTGAAGGCAGCAGCTCTCTGTTTAGCTAATAACATATTAAAAGAAGTGCAGTGAAAATGAAGTTCAATGCTGTTGAACGTTTCTCCTGCAGGCATTAAAAACAGTAATCTAGATTCCCAGTTTAGGAAGAACATCAACTTGAATTTTTGTCTTCCTTATTATTGGCAGACTATACTAAAAGGACTACATGAAGTTATCCTCGATTTTGCTAAGATAATTAGAGTGAGTTATATTTTTTAATTCAGTTTAATGTATAGAATTAATACAGTATCTGATCAAACATGAAAAGTATCCCTCATGAAAACATGCATATGAGAAGAGTTCTCAGGTTCAAAGAACATTATTTGCTCTATGCCTTTTGACACCTGATCTAGTGCTCTTTAGTACAAGAAAATCCACAGCCTGCGTCACAGAATGGCCCAGGTTGGAAGGGATGTCAAAGATCATGAATCTCCAAACCCCCACCAACAAAAGACAGTAGAGAATTAAAGGTCTTCAGGAAAAAAGCAGCTTACACCTGATCTCAAGTGTATTGAGTAAACAAGTATGCATCATCATGCTTTGTTAGAAAATGTAAATTGATTTTTATCTCTCAATTCTACCTGAACTTCCAAAGGAAATCTTGATAACTAGCTTTCAGTTTTATTGAATCTTGAACAAGCAGAGCCTTATGAACAGTCTTTTTTAAAAAAAAAAAAAAAAAAAAAAGTTTCTGTAACAAGGCAAGTCTTACACATTATTGAGTCACCTGAGAATAGTTCAAAGAAAAAAATCTATTTAGAAAGAACAGTAATTATGTGGGATGTGTGGAATGCGATCCTTGCCCATCTTTACTCAGATGTGACATTTATAGAAGTGTTTAGGTCACTGAAGTTGTATTGTCCAAACATGTTATATGTTTTTTTTTACACTTGCAGCTCTAGTGTCAAACCTATTCTGCCTTAGTATCAAATAGGTGAAATTTTGCCCCACTGAATCTGGGCATGCATTGAGAGATTGGGTTTTGCAGCTCTAATAAGAATGGTACAGTCTGGGTTTCTGGTGTATATAGCAATAAAGGCATCACAGCTTTTCTTCACCATCAGATTGTGGTACAGTCAGGTAATCAATCACCTCTTGCTTTCTCATTTAAGACAAAAGATGTGATCATCACATTAAAGGTTTGTTCCTGTCTTTTTATTATGATACCATGACTCTCGATGAATTCATGCTAGAAAATTCATGGCTAATTAAATTGCTAATTGCTTGTTGACATAATTTTATCTGTTTAAGATCTAAATTATTCAAGCCTTAAAATAAGGCAGTTTTCTACTCACATTCTCTTAAAATTGAATTGGGACCAATATTTTTCCTGTCTAGATTCTTTGTTAAAATTCAAAGGTTTCCACTGAAAAATAGTGCTGTGCCATAGAGAATGCAATGTGCAGGTTCAAGAGCTGTTGACCTTGCTCTGATGATGGACATGCACAGAAACCATTGTGTGTATATTTTAAAAAAAGTTTTGTGCAAATACACTTGCTAAAATAAAGCTTTTGTTGTGCTCTGAACTTGCACGGATATCAGCTGTTGGTTGGTCTGAGGACGCTTGCCATGTTTCAATTGCCTGTTACCCAAAAGGGATAGATGTGGGAACCTGCTAAAGAGGTGCTGGACTAAATGGGAAGAGTCAAGGTGAAGGCAGAGACTGCAGGAAGGTTCTGGGATACAAAGGGCTGAAAAACAAAAATTGAACTTTTCTGAAGGGTTTCAGAAATGGTACCAAGTCAGAGTGAACTAGGAATAAAGAGGCAGGTGCTGAGGTGTACAGGTGAACAGCAGGAACTGCAGTCATTGTCCTCCCTTACTCTTGGAGACTAATGGCTTTAGTTAAGCCAAAATGAATATTATCCTCACAGATTAGAACAGCCTAAACAACTTGATTCATTTGACTGAAATATGTTGTATATAATTTAGTGTCCTTTCAATTTTGTTTTCTTAATATTACTTCATTCCTATAGCAAAGGCTGTCTTGAATGAAGTATCAAACAATTTTAGCCAAAAATCACAAGCAGGAAGCATTTTGACAATTTCCTGGTAAATTCCATGGCTTCTGTAACCCCTCTTTCTTTCTTTACTGCTGAGGCATTTTACAGATCCATGCTGGGCTGGAGAGAATACCAGCAAAACTGATCCACATAGGCATGAACTCTCTGAGTTGCAAGTGGGGATGTTTCTGAGATGCTGGTATACTATAGCACTGAGAACTAGGTAAATGTGTACGTGGGATATACAAGTAGGTTTAGAGAGGAAATGGTTGAGATTCATTATTACCACACAGATCTATGAACACAACTTCCAACAGCAAATGCTTTAATCGTTGATTAGAAGAGATGCTAGGAAAAGAACACTTTGTTTTGCTGTTTCTTATATTCTGGATCTAAGCTACTGTTTTTATAATGAACACAAAGCAGTTCTGGGCAAGAGGGAGCACACAAATCTAGTATTAGTGGGTTCCAAAACACAAAACCTAGATATATACCTGTGGATACTTCTATTCTGAACAGCAGCACTGTGGAATGCATATGTTTAAAGAATTCAAATTTAAGTATGGTTCCAAAGGAAACAGCGGTGTTCCTCAGGGGTCGGTGCTGGGTCTGGTCTTGTTGAACATCTTCATCAGTGACCCTGATGAGGGGATATTGGCTCCCCTCAGCAAGTTTGCTGATAATACGAAGTTGGGAGGATTGGCTGATGCACCTGAAGGCTGTGCTGCCATTCAGCAAGACCTGGACAGGCTGGAGAGCTGGGCAGAAAGAAACCAGATGAGGTTTAACAAAAGCAAGTGTAGAGTCTTGCACCTGGGGAGGAATAATTGCATGCACCAGTACAGGTTGGGGGATGACCTGCTGGAGAGGAGCTCTGCAGAGAGGGACCCGGACATCCTGGTGGATGACAGGTTGGCCATGAGCCAGCAGTGTGCCCTTGTGGCCAAGAGGGCCAATGGCATTCTGGGGTGCATTAAAAAGAGCGTGGCCAGCAGGTCGAGGGAGGTGATCCTCCCCCTCTACTCTGCCCTGATGAGGCCTCATCTGGAGTACTGCATCCAGTTCTGGGCTCCCCAGTACAAAAAAGACAGGGATCTCTTGGAAAGAGTCCAGCGGAGGGCCACAAAGATGGTGAAGGGCCTGGAGCATCTCTCCTATGAAGAAAGGCTGAGTGAACTGGGTCTGTTCAGCCTTGAGAAAAGAAGACTGAGAGGGGACCTGATCCAGGTCTATAAATATCTAAGGTGTGGGGGGCAGACTGTTTTCAGCAGTGTGTGGAGACAGGACAAGGGGAAATGGACAGAAACTGCAGCATAGGAAGTTCCGCACAAACATGCGCAAGAACTTCTTTACAGTGAGGTGACGGAGCACTGGAACAGGCTGCCCAGGGAGGTGGTGGAGTCTCCTTCTCTGGAGATGTTCATGACCTGCCTGGATGCCTACCTGTGCGACCTGGTGTAGGGAACCTGCTTTGGCAGGGGGGTTGGACTCGATCTCTGGAGGTCCCTTCCAACCCCTACAATTCTGTGATTTAGCTATGAATAATAAAGTATTGAGTTACCTTGAATTATTAAATATTTTGTATTAAATACGTAATTGTTAATATTTTCATACATAATATTTATATTTAAATAGTTTGTCAATTCTTTTAATGTTATAGCATTTTTGTCCTAATGTCAGATTATATAACTCTGATTTTTGGTTCATCCTGTAAAGGGTAGAATTATACCTTTCCAGAGATGGTTTTTCTGTTCTTGTGACTTATGTTTTGTTTTGTCACAACAAGGTCTTCAAAATCCAGAAATTTCTCTGCTTAGTAAGAAAACATGGGAGTGTATCTAACCTTTATTCCTGTTTCCTTTGGAACCACAGTTAAAGAAGCCTGCTTCTGCTTTGATTTATTTATTTATTTTTTTAATGTCCTTATCACAGCATTTGTGAATCCCTTGCTGTTCTATGGCACAAAGTTTTAGGAGCTGGAAAAAAAATGGTAACAGTCATTCCCTAACTGACAAATAATGAAGGAACATCACTGACTGGATTACTAAAATAAAACTGAGGAAAACAGCTGATGAGCATAAAATCTTGCATGTAATACACTTTCTTATCTTTAATATAGGACTTACGTTTGTGTCACAGTTTGACTACTACTTAATACAAATTACTTCTGACTTTTCTCCTTTCAAGCTGAGTTGCTTGAGCTAACTCCAGGCTTGCATTTGTTACTTTCATGGGTTTTTCTTGTTTCTCTAATTTAATCTAATGCATATGATTACAGGTTGCATATTACTGAATAACTTGCAACATTTCTACTTTGTTATAATTTAATTTCAAATGGTTTTGGAATATTATTACATGAATGTTCGGAGCACCCAGAAGAGGAAAGATGTGGAGCTTTTGGAACATGTCCAAAGGATGGCCATAATGGTGAGCACAGGGCCGCAGTGCCTCTCCTATGTAGGCAGGCTGAGGGAGATGAAAATTTTCTGTGAATCATAGAAACTGGGTTAGCTGCTGATGACACTGACAAAGGCTGTCCCAAGAGTGAAACAAGTTTGGGAAGCCCTGTAAAGATGCAGAAGATGAAGCAGGCAGTACCTAACTTGGGTGAAAGAATGCTCTCAGTAGTTTAGTTTTTGATCTTTCCTGGGATTTCTCTATGGCAATGGCATGGCTCTGATTGTGTCTGTAGGTGTTTTAGAGTCTTCATAGCCCAACAGGGAGGGAGGGAAGTCATCTTACCCTTGTGGACAACAACATCACAGTGAATCTTGGAGCTCTGACTAAGGCTACTTTGAAAGACTCCACCGGAGAAGAATGAATATAGGTTCTTGTAGTCTTTTCTTGTACCTCAAGCACAAACCATTATTCCTTTGTAGGTTCCCAGCATACAGTATTTCTATTTCTCAAATACTCCCCTCCGCAACATTTCATTCTAACTCTTTTTTAACGCTGCCCTACTTTTCTGTCTTTTAGCTTGCTTAATTTCAGGGAGAAAGACAGACAACTGATGCCAAGGAAACCTATAAATCACTTCATATAGTTTGTAACACTACTGAAAAATCAGTTCAGGATTTATGTCACTGCAAATGAGATCAGCCATTTGCAAGCTTCCTTTTATAATTTATTTAGCAAATTGAAAACATTCCTTTAAACAAGCTTTGTCAGCTTGTCATCTACTGTAGCAAAATAAATAGCTTGCTGATGGATCAGATAAATTGGATTTTTATAGAGTCCCATCTATTTCAAAGGTCTTTCTTTTCTCACACAGGTTTATATAGCTTGCTGTACTGAACTGCTGCACATGCTCCAGAGCAGTCTTTATTTTTAATTCATACAGCTACATATCCTGCATTTCCCTCAGGCTAGTTGAAGACTTCATGCTCCGACTTCATCTGAAAATGTATGTATGTACACAAGCTAAATTCTTAAGTCTGATGTGAACTTGGAAAGTTTTAGATGCGTTCATGTCAGCTAGCAAGCTTTGGGCTATTAGTCGCTTGTAGAAGATGGCTGTTGAACAATCTCACTCAGAGAAACATGGTGTTTTGGTTTGCAAGTCAGTCCTGGAAGAGGGCACCAGACCTAAATCCCAGCAGGGTGATGACTGAGTTCCCCTGGGCCCTATACAGGTCCCAAAAGAGCTCATCTGAGCAATCTTTCCATGCTATGGCTTCCTTACGTGAGCTGAGCCCTGCTTGGAGCAGTGACTATCATCAGGGCTCTATCATTATTTTGAGATAGTGGAAGAGCCTTCTATGTGTGAACAGCTTGAATATACCACATACAGTTACATATGTTTCTAGTGTAAATAAGGCCTAGATGAGGAATGGGTATTTAAAAATCTGTTTCGCAGTTTGCAGTACTGGAGGTTCTGCTTGCACACCAGCTAGAAATAATATCAAGCCAACATCTCAAATGTTGATTTCATGCACCAAGAGAAAAAGAGAATATAATTATAGCACCCTGTCATTTTCATTTTGGCAGGAGTGCTCATTTTCAAGGAAAGAAAGCAGTGGCCCAAGCTGCCTCTGGGAGAAGTGAAAACACCATCAGGAAGCCTGACAAAATTCTTTAGAAGGTTGGACTTCTGCACAGCTGATGGGATGGCCCATAGCTCTGGCAGCTGGGAAAAATAAAATTATAGTGGCATTCCTTTGCAGGTGGCAAAATTTAATGTATGCCCATGAGTTGGGATGACTGGGGAGTGAAGTGCCTAAACAAACAAACTTTTATCAAAGCTGTTTGGCAAGTGTTTTATCACATTTTTTTTTTCCAGATTTTTCAAGGGCTTTTTCACATTTCCTCAGAAAACAATACCAAGAAGTGTGAGAGGATAGGCCTCTTATTTTCTTGAATATCTTAATTTCCCTTGTTCTGTTTAATGATTAAGTCCCATAAAACTTTAACAAGTGGACACTTTGATTGCTCAGCCTTTAGCTGCTTCCCATACAGTCAAGGAGGGGTATTCTGGAGGAGACTTAGGGGAGACTGTATTGCTCTCTACCCCACCTAAGAGTGTAGTGAGGTGAGGATTGGCTTCTTTTCCCATGTAACAGCAATAGGTTGAGAGGGAATGGCTTCAAGTTGTGTGATGGGAGATTCAGGTTGAATAATAGTGAAAACCTCCTCTCCAAAAGAGTTGTCAGGCACTGACACAGGCTGCCCAATGAGGTGTTGAGTCATAAGTTTTCCAACCTTAATGATTCTATGAGTGATGAACTGAGGGAGGCTGGATTTGGTGGTGGGTGGCAGCCTCTGGTTCTGCAGAGAAAAGCTGAGATGACAGCAGTGAGAGTGGGAGCATGGAGAAGCGAAGGACAATGGCAGTATGGAAATGACATAAATTCTTGATTTTCTGCCTTGATAATTCATACTAAGATCACCTTAGCACAAGACCTGAGCTGCCCACTCTGCATGTCTCTGCCCTCCATGCTGGCCCAGCTGTGCCCTGCAGCTGTGGTCAGGTTCCACACAGTAACACAAGAATTTCAATTTTTTTCCTCTGAAACATAGAACTGAATGGTGTGGAACCATGGAAATCTCCTTGCCTCGCTTTGTCTATTTTCCTTATATTAAAAAAAAAAAAAAGCCAAGTGTAAAATAAAAAGAAGAAAAAAATTAAAGCAAAAAACACAAGCGATCTTCTAGGGGAATGTGAAATAATTAGCAGAGTGCAGAGGTTACATAGTTCTTACCAGCCTAGTGTTAGCAACCCTTATAAAGCAAATGCCCCCCTTTAAAGTGCAGCTGTTATGGTAGAAAATGGCAAATAAAAAACAGCAGCACGTGATTGGATTTTGTGAAAGCTTGTCCTTCAAAGATGCTCAGGAGGTACTGCCCAGTATTATATGTATACAGAAATCTGTTTATAATACCTGCAAAAATGGAGATTTAGCCACACTAAAGACTGTAAATTAACAGCCTAAGAAAACAGTCAACTATTTCCTTGCAATAGCCACAAGGAAAAGAATGAAAGCAATGCTGCTCATGGTTTTGTGCAACTGTCTTTTTTTTTTTATTTTTTTTATTTTTCTTCTTGTGGGTGGGTAGGAAAACCAATCTTCTCCTTACAGAATCAGAGAGAATCTGCTCTCTGAGGTGAGGACCTGCAGCATTCAGTGCAGCTCCCCAGGAGCTGAGAAGTGCAAAAAAAAAAAAAAAAAAAAAAATTTTTAGTTATAGAGAACCCCCCACAATAAATAATTATTAGTGTTTAAGAGGTAAGCGGCACTTTTTTTTTTTTTTTTTTTTTTTTCAGAAGGATGTGGAAACATTTCTCCTCAGAGCACGCAAGGCTGTGAATCATGAAGGTGCTACTTCATGTCTATTCATTCCATGTCTGAGGGGAAAAAGAAACGTGGAAAATACTAAGAACTCTTTGCCAGAATTTTCTACTGGAGATGAAAGGATTTATCGTGAATGTTGCTTTGGGATTTAAATTTGCCTTTTGTTTTGAACTTAAGACAGAACTGTTTTAGAAGAAATCAGCAATGAATTGCGTCCTGTGTCATGGGCTGCAGAGCCTGTCAGCAGGGACTTACCTCCCTCCCATGCCATTCCTGCAAACTAGAAACTGCAGAGCTCTAGACCAGCTAATGTTGGACTCCATTCTAGATGAGGGTGCAAGTATTAAAAGCTGCCTTTTTCTTTTTTTTTCCCAAGGTAAAGGTCAGAGGTTAAACAAGGAACTGTGTTGGTTGTCCTGTACGGCTGTATCACCAGACTGAGAAAAACTTCTCTGCACTTTCAGGAGGGGAGCTTTTCTCATTCTAATGCTTTCTCAAAGAGCAGAAACTCTTGACATGTACAAGAACGTGTTCAGGCTGCTTCTGCAAAGAAGGGCACATAGCTTGTGCCATGGCTGCAGTGTGAGTGCACTTCCACAGTGCAGATGTGGCCAGGTCTAGTGACCTGCCACCAGCCTGTGTGTGGTCCTTTCCAGCTCAGTCTGTAATGCGGCTTAGTTATAGAACTGCACCCAAATCTCTCTACCCTGAAAGAGCTTCTCCCATCACCAAGCTACCTCCCAAGTTACTTTGTAGCTGCAACACTCTGCTCAAGGCTTCTGCATTCATTTCAGTCATGCTGACAGACCTCCACATTTTCCTCTACATTCAGAGTGCTGCTGCTGGTTAAAAGATGCTATGTAGCAGCAGATGATGATTTGTCTGTACGTGGTGCCTGGAGTCGATCTTCACTCTGTCTTCTAGTGTTCCTTCATAGAAAGCACGTCCGAAAGAAGAAGGGATTTACTCCTGTAAGGGCCCTTAAAGACTGGTTTGGCTCCTGCGTGGGAATTTCAAAACAAAGAAAACTTCAGAAACAAACAAACAAGAAAGACAACAAAGACAACACTGATGTGATAAGGTACTTCCAGATTCTCTTCTACTATATTATATATATAATTATATATTATTTATGTTATATATTCTCAGCAGAAATAGCACTGTGGAGGGAAGGAGCTTATACAGATTTCCTTTGAGAATTCAGCCTCACATCTCTTCTGTTCTGCAAATATCAACAGTTTCCTTTCCCATCCATTTACCTTTACCTCACTGCTTCAGGCCCTTCTCCATCTCCCAGATGTCTCTATGAAGTCATTCATGGGATATTACACAGGCACCATGCATTTGCAGCACAAGAATACTGATACATTAATAATACAAGCCCAACAAATAATGTTTTTTGTTTGTTGACTATACAACTTAACCTGTAAGTGAAGGCATGCAAAAAAGGGGATGTGTTCTTCAGCGCAGGGACTGGCTCACTCAGGGCCTGGTTTTGTATTCTTCATGTTGACAGTATTTAACAAATAATGATGCTCAGTTAGAGCTACAGCAGGAGTCAACACTATACTTCTCAACTCCATTGCAATCACACAGATAATGCTATGCTCTCATTTCATACTGAGCATGCTAACTGTATTTTAAACAACTTTCAGAAGAGTTTTACTAATTTTAAATACACCTGCCATTGCTGTCATGAAAATGTACTTCAAAATAAAAAAGGAAGCAATGACAGAGGCATTAAAATGCAGAGACATTATTCATATTAGCAGGGAAGAGCCTCAGTGCAAATGCTATACGAAGTACTGTCACTCTGTTCTCTGCCTGCTCCTTTGTCAATACACTCAGGCATGGGGTAGCTATTTGTCATGAGGTGAATTGTGGAACTCACCTACACTTGAACTTCCTCTACTTGCTTGCTGTGCTAAGTTTGACACGTTGCTGCCAAACAACATCATATCAGCACCGCCCTGGATGGCCCACTGAGTCCCTGGCTTGGCCAGTTACTCTCCCTTGGCAACCAGTCAGTGGTAAGAGGTGGGTACCTTCTTGGAGGCAGATTCAGAGCAAGAGCCTAACTGTGAGGGCTTGCAGTAATCGCTCTGGCTCCAGAGAGAGGTATTTACTACACAACCTACCAATGAATCCACTCCCACTCATCTGTCTTCTACCCACTAATACAGAATACAACAGTTAACCTCAGAGTGATGTCATCTGTGACCCGACTGTACCACATTTTCCAGGAAATGTAATGCAAGTCTTAGCCTGTGCCCTCTCAGAGCCATGGATAGAACAATATCCCCCTTCCCCTCATTACACATGCACACATTGAAAAAAATGTGCAAACCTCCTATTTAGAGGGACAGTAAAAATACAAAGCACATGAAACTTGATTTGTGAAACTGTAGCTTAAGAGATGAATGAGGGATGTGGGGATCTGCTTGGTGGACAGGGTACTTGGACTTAGCTGAGCCTGCAATGCAAGAGGATCATGTCTCATTGGTGGGCTTACTGTACTACAGGTATGTTTAAGCGCCCATGTGTTTAACAGCACTTATAGAAGCAATTCTAATAAAAAGCAGCAGTTTTATGACAGTTAAGTTATTGTCAAATTTATTTTTTGAATCCTGCCAACTGCAACTTGCTCTCTTACCAACATCTGCTGCTTTCATCTTCAGAATAAAAATCCAAGCCCTGCAAGTCTAACAGTTCCAACTCAAATCTTTATATTAGTTAAGGTCTGCTCTTTTCCACACCGAAAATTACTATGTAAAAACAAATCTGGAACATCAAACTTAAAGATGTGAAAGGATCAAGGCTCTATGCAACTTGAAACACGTAGGCACAGAGGAACTATTCAGTTATCTTTTGCCTCCCTTGCTCTCTCCTTCTTCATGTGGTTCGGCTTTGTGCTTCAAAGGCAATTCAGGCTGCTTTAAAATCTTCCCAAGCAGCACTGACATGGAGGCTTATAGGTGTATCCTATTTGTACTTTTTAATTGGAAGTTAAATTATAAAGCTATCTGTGAACGCTCAGTTCTGCAGTAGGCTTAATGCAGAACTAGAGCGTGTGGTTTTCATGGCAAGGCACCTCAGCTGTAGGGAACTTAAAGAGTCCAGTTCACCAGGACATGGACAGGATTCTCATGCATTTCAGGAGATGGTAATAATTACAATCAATTTATCCTAACAACACAGTTCAACCCTAGTAAATCTCAGAACAGACACGTGCCACCACGTCCCAGATCATTCTCTGTGGGAATCATCAAATACTGCAAATCTAAACACTACAATGCCAAGGGCATATACATAGCTTATACACAGCAAGCATGCATGGAAAGGGAAGACTGGGGGCAGGAGAAAAGATCTTCCTTTTGATTAAAAAATAAATAAATTAGGAGAATGCAGAAACACAATGGTGTTTCACTGACCACAACTAACAGCAGATAAGTGAAGTAACAGGAGGATTGAAGAGAACCTCTGCAGCTGAATTTTTAGATGCTGCTTGAACAAAGGCACAGTGAAAACAAAACATTCACCACCTCTTGGAGCTGGAGTTACATACTGCATCCCAGCAGACATCTGGGTGGTTGAAATCCCCTGTCAGGATGAGAGCTGGCAAGAGCAATGCTTCCTGCAGCTGAAAAAGCAAGAAGGCCTCGTTAGCAGGCTTCCCTTGGTTAGGCTGCCTATAGTAGAACCTGACCATCAGTTGAAATGGCATATACCATAGAATCATAGAATTGCTCAGGTTGGAAAAGACCTCAAAGTTCATCAAGTCCAACCACAACCTAACCATACCATAACCTACCATAACTAATAACCCTCTGCTAAATCATGGGTTCCTGAGCACCAAATCCAAACAGTTTTTAAACACATGTAGGAATGGTGACTCAGCCACCTCCCTGGGAAGCCTATTCCAGTGCCTAAGGTAAAAGATTCTTTGTTCCTACCACGATAACCTGCAGTATTTTTTCCAATTTCATTAATCCTTCTTTCAGGTCCCCTCTACACAGTCACCTCAGTTAAAATGAGGGAAAAGCAAGTAGGAATTCATTATTGAAAACCTCTTAGATGCACTTGGAAGATCTTGCAAAGCCCACAGATCTAGTGAGTCATCCTGTAAACTTGATTATGAAGGGGAAAATAAAGCATATTTTAAACATCAAGGGCAACACAGCAATATTGCTCCTATGTTTTCAAATTTTGAATAACAATACTAGTAAACAGAGAGACAACTCGAACATGCGCAATGTAGTATTATACACACACCCAAGCACTTATCAAATTTTCTGCAGTCTCCCTCAGGTGGTTAAAGAGGGAATACAACCTTTTTCTAACATGAATTTCTGCTGACTTCACCAGATGTCCAAACTGTTCAAGTCTTACTAAATAAATATTCTCTGCAAAAGTGATGTGAGGTGGGGGAGGTCTGCTATTACTGTAGCAGTTCCATATCAGCTACCTGTAATGCAGGTAATAGAAGAAAACAAACAAATTAATTTCACAGACCTAAATGAGAAATGGAAAAAAAATACAAACCAAAATTCAAAACACAGAAAGCTTTACAGAATGCCAATAGCTTTCACTATTTGCTTCTACAGTGTTATCCAACTTCCTCAATACATTATTGCTATGAAATTCCACTGACTGGAAACAGGTGCTATTTTGAATACTTAGAAGGATACTAAGTATCCTGGGTCCACATCAAGCTAGAATACAAAGCAAGACAATTCAGGAAAATGCAGTGTTAGTATTAGTTCAGTTGGAACACACAAGCAGAACAGACAGGAGATGTGCTGTTTCTGCAGGTTTTTCTGGCTGTATGCCCCAAAAAATTGTTTAGGAAGAGAACAAGTTGTTAAGAGTTTCACTGATGACAGAAATTGTAAAGCCACAATGAGATTCTCACTTCTCAGATCTGCCTGAGAAGCCCTTGATATGGTAAATCCTTATTTTTAATATAGAATGTACAGAAAATAAATAAGCTTAATGCCATTACAGTCTTTAAGGCTTTTTTTTTTTTTTAATTTAAAAAGTTTGTCAAACAAGATGAATATTTACAAAACGTTTAGTATTTCAGCTCTAGTACCAAAACCTGTTCACTACAGTACACAGATAAAGAAAGTACAATATACAAATCTAAAATATAGAGTATCAAGAAAATCTAGGTGACCTGATAAAAATTACAGCATTTCCCAAATGGAAAGGTAAAATGTGAAACAGCATAGCTTTAACTGAGCACACACTTCCAGTAAATACAGTAGAGACAGCCTCTGGAAAATCTACACCAGTGTAATAATCGATGCTAGATCAAAGCCACCACTCACATCTTGAATCCCTACATCCCTTGAATATAAACTGTACATATGAAATTTACAGTGATTTTCAAAAGCTCATTCTCAATCTCCAGAAAGATGTTCTAATGCCACACAATTGATGCAATCTCTTTGTCTACGAGTTTTCCTACATAATGGTTTAGTTTACCTGCCCAAATGATGATAAAAAATTCTTCTGTTGGACAAAAAGAATACAAATTCCTAATATTCAGAAGTCAAATGCAAGAAAAGTCTTTTTTTTTTTTGTCCTTTTTAAATCAGACTATATATACACTGAATATGCTTTCATTTCACAGAGACAGAAGGAAGGAAAAATCCAGATGACTTAAATCAGGGTAGGGAGCAGGAATGCTGTAAACTCTTCAGAAGTCTTTATACTTGCTTGTAGAGAAACTTTAATCAGTGCTTTCAAAGAAAGGCAACATACACCTCATTTAGTGTCTGATATAAATAGTCAAGAAGATTGGCATGCATACAATTAGCTTCACTGTGTAAAAGAAAATGAAGCACGGATCTGTCTGTAGTTCTCTTTCCTTTTATACAGCATACCAGATTTCAGTTCAGATGATATTTCACCTTGAAGGCTGCCTTCACATCAAGACCAGTCTAACACTTCATTTCACTGTGTTACTGGCAGAGCAACATTAACAGGCACTTGGCTAGGTTGTTGTGCTGGTGACCCATTACTGAGAGGTTGCTGTGGAACACCTGCTGGCTCCATTTTGCTGATGTGTGTTATGAAACGTAACCGAAGTTTCAAAGCTGGTCTTAAGTTACAAATTATTTTCTCAACCTGTAAAATAGAACAATTATAAATAATAAATTAAGACAGAAATGCATTTGGTAAATCGGGAGTTTTTGGACACATTGCCACCAATACAACCACTAAATATGCACAGTGAGAAAAAGATTACAGTATTAATGTTAACTTTCTATTTGTCATGTAAAGTTACGGACCTCTGGTGATAACAACCCTTAACCCTGCTCCCTGCTTTGGTCTAACAGTACTATAACAAAGCTCTGCAGAATGATTAACACAATTTGTATTTCTAAAAAGTTCAACCTGTTATAAAATTAACTATGTGATTATTATTATTATTATTATTATTTTAAACCAACTTTGGCCACATTCTTGCTTTTCTCACAAGTCAAGCTACATTAAGTGAAACAGAAACTAAGGAAAAACTTGAAAGATATGGCTTGAAATATATTGTCAAATATTCAAAATTTTATACAGCTTTGCCCCAGTGGCTGCTTTAATAATAGTACTTCGAGAACCTTCAAGCTGCATCTTAAGCTTCACACTACAGAAAATAACCCAGAGATCTGAGATACTAAGCCTACTGCAGTTAAAGATTGTAACTGCATAAAAGTGTACCAACTCCCCAGTTTGCATACAGAGAGACTAGTTCAAAATTAAGCTTTTTGTTTTACTGCTACAGATGAAAATCATTCCTTAGAAAGATTAATTTTCTATAAGGGAAGATAACTGATTTACTTACTTGGTCTTTCACACTGTCACCTGTGA